CACCCCAAATTTTAAGAGAGGTTAAGTGACCTGCCCACAGTCATACAGCCAGTGAGTATCTGAGGCTAAATCTAAACTCAGGTCTTTCTGACTCCAGGCCCAACACTTTATCCACTGTGGCACCTAGCTGCTCCCATGGGTGCATTCTTAATGAAGGTTTGAGGATTTCTATTGATGGGGTGCCTCTGACCACCATTTGGCCCACCCCAGGCCATCTTGATTACTTAATAAGAGTACTTGATAGTCCTTAATCCCATCTACATCCTTTCACTGATAGCACCTGCCCTGCCCTCCCCCCATTTAGCACACCTTAATCCCATCCAAATCTTCTGACAGTCTTTTTGTGTATAAATGTATCATTCTCACCTCCATTAAAGACAGATTCACTCGAAACTCTGCCCACTTCTATTGGTATCACAATAAACCCTGCTACTTTGACTGAAAGAAGGCTTGAGTGGTTGAATTCTTTCGAGGTAGACCCACCCTGTATCCTTACATTTTGAGGTTCCCAGTATCCCAAAACTGCATCACTATCATTTAGTAGTTTATGACTTCGAGCAAGTAATAAATCAAAATAAATATTCTCATATGTAAAATTTCTTCTTGTTGTTCAGTCATTTTTCAGTTGTGTCTGATTCTTTGTAACACCATTTGGGATTTTCTTGGTAAAGATACTGGAATTGTTTGCCATTTCCTTCTCTAGTTCGTTTTATAGATGTGGAACTCAGGCAAACAGGGTTAAATGACTTGCCCAGGGTCATACAGTTAGGAAGTGTCTGAGGTCAGAGTCGAACTCAGGTCTTCCTGATGGAGCCAGAGTCCCACACTTTATCCAATGTGCCACCTCACTCACCCCATAAATTGAGAGGGTATAACATTGAAAAATGATCAGAATTCTATTTTGCTAAAATGAAATCAAGCTAGACTTAATATTCCCTTTTACAATAATTACCCCTGGTAAACTTCATCCACCACTCACATTCAGGAGAAACTTGCTTAAAGGCCAAGCTTTTGGCCTTTTTATAATTGCCTCCACTTTTGAAACCCTAGCAGGGATAGGTGGGGCTATGGATAGAATACAGGCCCCAGATTGGGAAGAACCTAAGTTCAAATCTGACCTCAGATTCTTACTAGCTGTGTAACCCTGGGCAAATCACTTAACCATATTTAACACATTTCCTCATCTGTAAAATGAGCTAGAAAAGGAAATGGCCAACTACTCCAATATCTGCGGAGAAAACCCCAAATGGGGTCATGGAGAGTTGGAAAAGATTGAAATGACTCAGCAACAATAAAATTATAACCCCACCCATTACCCACTTTCCAGAGAAACTGGATTAACCTCAACAGTCAAATCTCATCAGTTTAAACTATTGTAGCAACTCCATTGCCTAAAGACTATTCCTATAACCTGGGGTGTATGAGTGTCCAAGCAGGACTAGCACCTCTAATATGAGGGCTGGCCAAGACCTTTTCAGGGCTATTCACCCACCTTTGGTGTCCACCTTCACCCAACTCTCACCTGTGGCTCTGAAGCTGTAATATGTAAAGTGGCCATACCCCAGTAAAACTGTTCTTGGCAGACATACTAAACCAAAGTGAGGGTGACTGATGGGCCACAAACCAGTTGGTGAGTTAGGGGAGTGTCTACCCCAAGCATTGGCACTATGGATGGATGAAAACAATTTGTTCCAATGGCCATAAGGCAGCTGAAGCAGGTGCTGTGGGGTGCTTAGAGCTTGGTCAGAAAGTGAAAATGCCAAGGTCATCCACTCCATCCCCCACTATTGTCAGTCATCCCAGTTTTTGTCTTGCCACTAGACTTTGATTATTCTAGAAAAGAGAATGAGGCTAAAGACTTTATGCAACTCTACTTCTCTACAAGCAACAACTACAACAACAAATCCAAATGAAGGAGTCAAGACCCACCCTGTGATGTAATTCATCCACTTCAAAAATGAGGGACAAACTACAACTCCCGTCACCTGAGAATCTTTGTCTTGTGACTTGAATCACATGTCTTGGCTGTGTCTAAGGGGGTTGTAGAAGGGTGGTCCAAAAGACCTAATTTCAATTCTGATTATGATGTCAATAGTCAGTCAGAAGAAGACACACCTATGTTGCTTGAGATTTTATCTGTCATCTTGCTAATTGTTATAAAAGACCCTGTCAGCCCTCACTCAAGGTCTTTAGTCATTGGGAGAGGCCATTGAAACCATTTACTGGTAATTGCTAGCCATATTAATAGATGGATCACGTTCTGAACCTTGTCTCTCAGAGTTTCTTTTGAAACAAGGGGAAGGTAATAAACAGTATATATACATATACACACACACATATATACATATAGATAGATAAAGATAGCTATAGATAGATAAATATAGATATATATATGCATGTGTATATACTGTACTAACTATACTAATACATTATATAATATAATTAATATAATATATAATTATATATTATATATAAATTATATGCTTTGTGTATGTTTATAATTATAATATTATTAATATAATGTATCATATACAAATAATATATAATATACTATATATACTAACTATACTAATATATACTAACATATATATGTGTCAGGCACTGTGCTAAGAACTTTACAAATATACAAATATTCTCATTTGATCCTCATAACAACCTGGGGTACAGGTGCTATTATTTTCCCTGTTTTACAGTTGATGAAATGAAGGCAAACAAAAGTTAATTGACTTACCCAGGGTAACACAGCTAGTAAGTGACTGAGGCTGGATTTAAACTCCGGTATTTCTGCCTCCAGGCTTAACGTTCTATCCACTTCACCATCCTTCTGCCCCAAACGCTAGGTGATTTTAATTTCCTTCTAACTCTTAAATCTATGATCAGATTGTAACAAACATTCTGGCAAGGCTTAGAATGGTTGCCTTGTGAGGGGAAGAAATTGCTAAAGACCTTGGGTATAGTATTTCTTTCCAGAGATGAGCTGGAATGAGGAAGAGATGAAGCTATCTTGGGATTGAAACCAGGAGAATGATTTCATTGTTTTAAAATCGATATAGAGAAAGATGCACAGAGAGAGTTGGAGAAAGTGAACAGTGACAAAGGCCAAAGATAGGACCCTTTTCAGAAGACTGACTATAAGCCTCATAGTGGCAGAAGCCTTTTCCTTTCTCTGGACAGCCCCCTCTGCTTATTTTAAGAATTTGTCAGATATAATGCCTGCCTCTGTAAATTACTGAAATAATGGTGAATTTACTCCACTCTCTTTCCCTTTTCTGTTACATTACTGCATGTGTTGGGCATAATGACTAAGTGTTTCTTTGCCATTTTAAATTTTGTTTAGCAGTTATTTTTATTTTTTAATGATTATTTTCTAATTAAAGATCATTTTAATTATGTCCTGAATTGTTGTTTTTGCTATAAAGGGTGAGATAATGGCAGGGAAAATCATAGACAATTAATTATACCAAATTCAACTTTCTGGGAAGTCTTCCTTTTGACTTGGTGATCAAAAGAATACCCTGGGACTCAGAGCTTCAAGAATTGTATCATTGTCATTCGGTTGTTTGGTCCTTCAGTCACATCCCACTCCTCCTGACCCCATGCACCATAGCAAGTCAGGACCTTTTATTTGCCACTATCTCTTGAAGTCTGTCCAAGTTTGTGTTCCTTGTTTCCATGGATTGTATTAATAATCTGTATGAAAAGCTTTCTAATTTTTTCAGAAAAGTGAAGTAGAGTTGCATGAAGTCTTTTTTTCAGAAAAGACCCTTGCTCTAGATTAGAACCCTTATGAATTCATCTCAATATCTCTATAAACACAAGTCACTGTGTAGCAGGTGCCTTTTGGGTTTTCTTTGCTCCCAGAGGCAAGAGAGGGAAGAGGAATTAAAGTGAGAGATCTCTAAAGAAAGTCACACCCTAAAATAATCCCAGAGGTAGAGACAAGCATTCTCAAGGAACACCAATTCCACCCATTTCCCCAAAGAGAGATAGTGATGTGGTCTAGAGGTTAGGGGTCCTGGAATCCCAAAATCATGACACCGGGTCCTGCCCAAAAGAATTCAACCCAAGCCTTCTTGCAGCCAAAAACAAGGTTTATTGAAGATTCGCCATATTAGCTAGACTCTTAAGGAATCTGAGCATCTATGGGCTATTGGCTAGATTCTAAGAATCAGAGCATTTTAATGGAGACAAGATGGACCTTATATACAGAAAGACTGTGGGAGGGATCTAGGAGTGGCCAAGTAGTTTGGAGTGAAGGAGGAAGGGCCTAAGGAGATCTGTATGGGAATGGCTAGTAAGCTGGGGTGAACGGAACTCCTGGGACCTGGACCTCATGGCCAAGGGAGAATGGAGCCTAGCTAGGATTAAGGGTGGGAAATGGCTGGGGGCCATAGGGAGGTAAGACAAAGGAGGGGAGATTGGGTGTAGCCACAATGAAAGGCCAGTTGATGGGATTATAGCCTCAGGGGAATGCCAGAGATTTGGCCACATGGGAAAGTCCAGAGTTTTTCCTTTCTGGGGCCCAGATTCCAATCCCATCAATAGGAACTGCCCTCCATAGGGACTTCTGCTAGGCTAGTCACTATGCTATGCTAGTCACTATGATCCAGGGGTTTGTGTGGAGGCGAGTGGGTGGTGGGACATAGGCAAGAATTACAAAGGCTGAGAAGGCTGGGAGGATCTGCACTGGACCACTCCACTGATAGGATCAGGGATTTAACCATTTATATGCATTCAATAAACAGTCATTAAGCTTTATATTATGGCTTGGGCACTATATTTAATGATGGGGGGAGGGAAGGGGGCAGAAGGAATAAAAATTTAGATAAGATACCAGTCTATACTTTCAGAGAACTCCCAGTCTAGTAAGTATCTAAGTAAACATTTCTTTTCAATTCTTTCATTTCTTTTCTTTTCAAGAGAATTTTTCACCAACTTCAAAAGTAGTTTTATATATTTATTTAACTTATGCATTAATACAATACAAAAAAGACCAACAATATTCATATACTATATAGGAAACAATAATATCACTTAAATAACTATGCATTAGAGAGGGACATTTTTTATAGGATCATACACAATCAACATTTCTCTAATGGGGTGACTCATAGTGCATTCATGAAGGGAATTGATACACAAGTACAGTCTCCATTCCTTATTTTGGCACATATTTGAAGAGAGACACTAAAGCTAACTGCAGACTTCTCTAATGGAACCTCTCTAAGATCCCTCCAAAATGTGGCATCCTCTATACTATGTTCTGAGGTCCCTCCCAGTTCTCACATTCTGTTTTCTATGTTATAAAGATCCCTTCCTACTCTGACATTCTAAGATGATACCTTTACAAGCATGGGGGGGACAGACCCTAGTACCTCACTTTTTCTTGTGAAAATCCTAAGGGATCAAATGCTGCATTTTTTTTTATCCCTAGGTAACCCAGTGAATACTAAGTAGAACAGTGGAGTGTGTGTGTGTGTGTGTGTGTGTGTGTGTGTGTGTGTGTCTGTGTGTTTTCTTCCTGTGTGTGAACTTGACAGTTCATTGGAATCTTATATTTTATAACTCATTTTTCTTTTGGCCTGCATTTAAAGGCATGGAACCATGATAACACCTTTTACTCACTAGTAGCATTTTGACTAACTTTGGAGAATTTTGCAAGAATCTTGGCTAGATAGATCTGCCCTTTATGGAAGACCTGTTCTCCTTGCTCCTTTTTACTCAAAGTGAGCACCAAAGAGCCCATCACTTTTAGGATCTTCAACAATTTCTCTGGACTTTTTAGTGTTAGCTGACAAAGGTTGGAAAACATCTCTGGGATCCCCAGCTGTTGCCATGTTGGTGGCTAATTCTTCACTTGATTCCAGGCCCCTCTGTCCAAGATTCACACCATACCCTGAAAAGAATTCAGATTCAAAAAGGAAATTATAAGGGGTGATTAGAATTTGACTGTTAGATCAAAATAAACTCATATCTGAACTACAACTTTGTTTTTACTTTGAAATTGAAATACATAGGTACATTGTGCCTTACAAAGAAGTGTGAGATAAAGGAAGGCAGACTTTGACTACAAGCTCCTTCCTTTTTCTGAGATTTTTTTTCTCTCATCTATAAAATGGGAATAATTATGCACACACAGCCTCCATCATTGGATCATTTTGGGGAAAGCACATTATCAACTGTACAGTACTACATGAACTATTGATATTATTATCTCTGTGTTTCTCTTTTTCCCCATGTCGCTCATCTTTCCCCACAAGCATAAGTCATTAAAAATTCTCTCTCCAATTGTCAGCTAGAGACTAAATGCCAGGCAGTTATTCAAGTAAATGAATAGAAGCATAATGTTCAGCACAAGGAGCATGGTAGATGAAGTACTGTATTCAGTTCTTATTTTCAGGAAGAGTATTGAAAGCAACCCGAGCCTGTTCAAAGGATAACTAAGACTAGAGATAGGGATGGGGGGAGGGGCATGTCTAGAGACTATGCCACAGAAGCATTGATTGAAAGAATTGGAGATGTCTAGCTTGGGAAAAGAAGCAGTTTGGTAGAGCAGAAGAGCACTGAATTATAAGGCAGAAGATATGGGTTTGAATCCTGGCTCTTCTTCTTACTAAGTGAATAATTTCTAGGTGGTACAGTGGATAGAACATTGGCCCTGAAGTCAGGGGGACCTGAGTTCAAAATCAATTCAACACTTGCTAGCTGTGTGACCCAGGGCAAGTCACTTAACCCCAATAATCTAAAAAAACAAACAAACAACTAAATGAATAATTTGGGGGCAGGTCATTTGACCTCTCTGGGGCTTGTGTTCCTTATTTTTCACAGGAAGCCATATGATTAGAAGATGGCTAAGAAACCTTCCAACTCCAAATCTTAGATTTAGGAAACTTGATTATGTGAAGTACTTTGTTAAAGTAGACCAAATTAGTTCTGCTTGGTCGCAGAGGGTAGAAATAGGAGTAGTTACTCATAGTAACTAAGTTTTTCCAAGGAAAAACTTCCTTCAAGTTAAAGCTGTGGTACGGCCTTCCTTGGGAGGTAGTGAGTTCTCCATCCTCGGAGGGCCTCAAGGAAACACTTGATGACAATTCATTGATGTTATGGGGGAGATTCAGCACTGTGCAATAGAACAGTTTTTGAGTCAGAGGACCAGGTTCAAATTCCATTAGATTGTAAACTCTTTGAGGGCAGGGACTATCTTTTGCTTCTTTTTATACCCCCCTCCCATAGTATAGTGCCTGCTATGGGCACTTAATAAATGTTTATGATTGACTGACCTCTGACGCTCACTATTTGTATGACCTTGGGCAAGCACCTTAACCTTGTAGGGCCACAGCTTGCCATCTATAAAATAAGGATATTGGGGTCCCTCGGTGGCTCTGCTTCAGGTCAAGGTTGACCTTGATATTCTTTTTTTTTTTTTTAGGCAATTGGGGTTAAGTGACTTGCCCAGCGTCACATGGCTAGTAAGCATCAAGTGTCTGAGGCCAGATTTGAACTCAGGTACTCTTGACTCCAAGACTGGAGCTCTTTCCACTGCACCACCTCGCTGCCTCCAACCTTGATATTCATTGAGGATGTTTCCAACTCTGACATACAACCCTTCTCTGATTACAAATGCCTTGGATATACATTTTGAAACTTCACAGAGGGCTGGCAGCTCACCAGTATCAAAGTTGAGAAGATGTGCATCTTCTCCCTCCACCATGACAGCAATGTTGTTCCTCTTAATATAGGTAGCTGTGATCTTCTTACAAGACAGCAAAATCTCAAGGAGCTGCTGGAGTGACAAGCCACTCACTTTTGGATTGCCATCCATTTTGTAGGCATTGAAAACCCAATGGTAGATTTTCTTCATTGCCTGAAAGAATAGAGCAAAGGAGATCAAAGCTTGGTGAGTCCTTTGCCAAAGATTTCACATTTGTACATATTACTTTTGCATACATACTTTATGTTGTTGATCATCTCATTTGAGCCCCATACCAATCTTATATGGGAGGCAAGGCAGGGCTTATTAATCTCTTTTTACATTCTGGTGTTTGGAGAGAAAAAATGACTTGACCCAAGGTTACAAAGCTAGTAATTGATAAAGCAAGAATGAGATTCCCCTATCATATAGCACAGATCATAGTGCCTAGTCTTGGAAAGGATGATAGACATTATCTACTCCATCATTGGAGTTTGCTCAGGATCACACAGTGAGTGGCAAAGCCAGGGCTCAAACTGAAATTCTCAGACTCCAAATCGAGCACATTTTCCATTGAAACATAGATAGTTATTTCTGAATCCCAACCCTGAATTAGGGCTGGGAAAAATACTTTCCCCCAGAAGCCAACTCTCAAATCTAGAAGCTAGATGCATTTTGAAAGTTACCATTGGACCTCAGGGATCTTGCCAGGATCATACGGAGGGGACTGAAGGATCCACATGGAAAAAATAACAGAAGCTGAAGGTGTTTTTAGGACCCTCATATTCAACTATAAAACTGCTGACCCCAGTTCCCTTCTCACTTGACCCACATCCCTCTCTATTGTGGGCAGGGGAGTCCAAACCAGCTTTGTAGTAGAGTCCAATCCAGTTATGGATTGCCATAACTGATAAGAAAGTGCTTTGACCTCCTTTCTCAAATTATGGGGAAAGTTGAGTTTGAATAAACAGAAAGAAGAGCATACATATCTACTCACTCGGGTAAGATTTTGTTAAAAACATTAGGTACTACCTTGTAGCAATAACATGGTATAGTGGATGAACACAGGACCCAGAAAAAGGAAGACTTGGGTTTGAATACCACCTCTGACACTTACTAATTCTGTGACCATGAGAAACTCATTCAACCTACCTGATCCTCAGTTTCCTCACCTGTAAAATGGGGATAATAACAGCACTTGTTTTGTAGGGTTGCTATGAAGATCATGTTAAATAATTTATATAAAATGGTTTGCAAGCCTTAAAGCACTATATAAGTGAGAGTTATCATTAAAATTGTCATGAGATATTATTATTAATCATGAGATATCACAACAACTTGGAGTCAGGTCTTTGCTAAGTTCTACCCAAAATGGTATTTCAGTATATTGGAGCTTGTCATTTCTCAATCATGGTGTACATTTTGTGGGTTCAATAGGCCAAAAACTAGTTACAGACTTGATGTCTACAAGACTCAAAGCACTTTATGATTGCCACATTTTAAGCAATAAAGAAAATATTCACAATCCCTTCTCCTTTGGTCTCAGTTTTCTCATCTGTAAAATGAGGGTGTTGGATGACGGGGCTTCTGAGGTCCCTTTCTAAGTCTGATAGTCTTATGGTTCTAAGTATGTATACCCTCTGCCTATGATATTTTACATGCTAACAAAAAATCATTTAAGGTCTTATATATATATACACACACAGACATACACATACATATTCATTTAGAATTTTAAAACAATGATCAAATACCTGTTGGATATATTATTTAATATTATAGTTATCTCTCTGTGTTCGTTTTCCCTGTGGTTGGAGCAATATCATAATATCCCACTCTCCATACTCAAGCAAGTTGGGCTCACTTTTCTTTACTAGGTATTGAGACCTTTCTTGAGATTTAACTGGCTCAGAATGTTATCATGATTTCCTGGTCCCTGAGTACAAAACAGCCAGGAAGAGATCTAGACTTGTCCTGATAGGAAAGAGCTTTGACTTTCTTTTTCAAATCATGGGGAAAGTTGAGTTTGAATGAAAAGGAAGAAGTGGTGAACCACTGGGCAAGTCAGAGTCAGCAGAGCTTTATTTAGCTGGTTCAACCCAATGTATCCTTAATGCATATCCTTGTTCTCTAGTTATACCTAAGTAAATCTCCTTTGTTAACTGTTGAACAACTCATGAATGTCTCATTCATTCCAATACTGAACATAAACTACCAGGGGAATAGCCTGAATCAAGTCCTGCTGAGAACACCCCTGTATTAGACTGTAGGTATAATGAGTGCAAGGATTATCTTGTAGCTAAATTTTCTATTTTCCCCAACTCTACAAACAGTAGGTGCATAGTAAGTGTTGGTTGAATTGAATGAGAAGGACTTGTGAGGTTGATGACTGCAGAACAGTAGGATTTGAAGTGGGGAGGGACAAGGAGGCAGCTGACAAAACAAGAATCCAGTGACATCCTAGAAGGTGGATGCCAAGAGGTAATTTTTTCTTTCTTATACAGGAATCTTGATTCATAAAATTTAGATCTGAACTAAGCCCTTAAAGACCTCAGAGAATACAACTTTTACATTTTATAGAGGAGGAAGCTGACATCCAGAGAGCTAAAGGCACTGGTCCACAGTTACCATATTGGCTCAAACAAAACTGCAACTGCTTAAAATAGATTTTCACAATGTCTGATTTGTAGTTCTGTGCCCACTTTTCATAATGTTTATAAGAATATTTGCTATTTAGGATTTTTGTAACTAGCGCCATTTTTTCTCTGTGAATGTCAACAAATTGATATTGCTTGCTAGAGAATGCCCATGTTTTATGTATCTATGTGGTAAGATAGTTATCTATATATCTATATTGGTAAGTTGAAATCTTTTTTCTCTAATAGAATCCTTGTGAAGTTCTTTCTAAGCCCATATCTAGAGTAGTATTCATATGTAGACTCCCAAGAAAAACTTGTAAATGTTTTTGAGCATTGTTTTCCCCTATGGAGAATGTCTCAGGTCTGTTTCTGTTGGGATAGAAAAAAAATTATTTAGAAGATAAAGGAAACTCTTTAAGATTCTTTGTTTTCAACTTATATACAGTTTTTAAAGTATTTATTTTTTAAAATTTATTTATTTTTAGTTTTCAACATTCACTTCCATAAGCTTTTGAGTTTTAAATTTTCTTCCCTTCCCTCCCCTCCTCCCTCTCCAAGATGCCATGCAATCTGATATAGGCTTTCTATATACATTCTTATTAAATATATTTTCACATTAGTCATGTTGTAAAGAAGAATTAGAATTTTTTTTTTACTTTTATTTTTTACAATTTTGCTATCTTGACTCCCTTAAACTGCTGGAAAAATCTTTCCCTATTTCCAAAATTGTGATGATGCTTATCTCAACCTGAATGAAATTTTGTTTAATTTTGTTTCTTTTGTTTCTTTTTTTTTTTCTATCATCCTAACTCCAATAGAAAATAGATTGCTCCATTCTAAGTAGAGGTAAGAAAGATGATCTATCTGATCCTACAGAGAACTAGAAACTTGAATCATTACTCAATATAAAGGGAAACATGGTGAACTATATTTGGTGCCACAGCTTTATTAAAAACTCTGATAATGTTCTTCATTAATTAGTCTGGTATCTGAGGCTTCTGCATTGTCCAGATCATCTGTTTGGGAGTTGCCATTCCCAACTAACTAAGTTCAGACTGTAGACTTCAGTGCTGCTCAGGTAGCTGGTAGAACTCAATAGCAGACACAGACCTAGGGAATATTTCATCTCATCTCAAACCTTCTTTATACCTGTACTGGCTGCAGAGATTAGCATCTAAAAAAATCTCATTAGGATACAAAAAGTCTGTTCATGTGGTTGCTTTTTTCCTCCCTGGATGTGCCAGTTAGTTATCACAGAATCAATCATTTAGGGGGTAATTGACACTAAATGTAGGGAGTAATATAGTCAGGAAAATCATCGCAGAATTTGTTTTTGAGAGATGGAAGGGACCTCAGAGGCGATCTAGTCCAAACCATGTGCACAAGTTTTTCTCTCTTCTCTCTATGCTAGGGATATCAATCCCTTTTGGTAAAGAGACCTTATAGGTCCAAGGGTTACCTAAATAATGATTCTCTCATATAAACTTCCTTTCTTGGTTATGGTTTCTATAAGTGTCACATCATGAGGATTTGCAAGACATTCTGTGATAATGTCCTTAGAACAGAATTCAGAAACCACTCAGTATATCCAACATGGACATTTAAAATTTTATGTTAAACCATGTCCACGGAAGCAAATGTTGGATATGTTAAAATTGTGCTCTATACCAAATAAAGTATAATTCCTCATCCTGGCATTCAAAGCCTTCCATAATCTGACTACAACCTGGCTTTTCAGCCTTATGTCATATGACTCACCTTCATGTATTCCCTCTACGTTCCAGCCAAACTAGATTTCCCACTGGACTGGAACTTACTAGCTGTGGGATCTCGAGCAAATTATTTACCTTCTCTGGTCTCTAAACTCCTCAACTATAAAATTGAGGGATTGGATTAGATAACTCTAAGGTCTTTTCTATCTCTAAATTGCTATGTTTGAAGGTCCCTTCCACCTCTTATAGTCTATAGGACCCTGGCATCTATTGTCAATTGTTCCTTCCCATTCATTTCTTAAGCACAAAGGAAAAGAAAGTAATATTTTTAGCTAAATGTTTTAAAAAAGTCTTTATATTTTGTAAATTCAAGGTTACTATTCATTGTTTTTTTTTTCAGATTTTTTTTTTAAAGAGGAAAAAGATACCTGTACTCCCAAGTTCCTACTCAATTGCCCTCTTTCTTCCCCATGTGACACTATAGCTGAGTATCCTTTTATTGTTCTGTTCCTGGGTGAAAATTCCTTATAGCACTAAGCAAGCAACATGGTATAGTAAAATAAGTACTAAATCTAGGGTCAGACTAGGGGGTGGGGAGTGGTAATGTAAGCAAAACACAGACTAATCCCATTCCTGCTGCCAATTAAATCAGTGCTCTATTCCTTTTGACAATTAAGTTAGCGGTATTTTTGCTTTTCTTTATCAAGGAAAATTCTATTTGGTCTGGGAAATATGGAACAAACTGATTAACAGAGGATTGAAGTTCAAGGCAAGTGTTAATATTGCCCATAAGAACCTTGCTACCTTCAGTGGATCAAGTCTT